CAGTGTTGGCTTCTTTCTTGAGCTGGAGCTACAGGCTCCCAAACTAGCTTGACACCATCCTAAGTACAAAGCCAACTTCCCCCACATTCCAAGTCCCCCTTGGTCAGGAAGCATCTCTGTCTGAGTGTCTTTCCTTCCAGCTCCTTCTCAAGTGAGCAACACGGCTCAGTGGGTAAAGGGCTTGCCACACAAATCTGATGGCCTGAGTTTGATCCCCAGAACCTATGATGGAAGGAGAAAAATGACTTCCAAAAATCGTCCTCTTGTCTCCACATATACACTAAGGCATATGCACACACCATGGCACACACACAATAGCACTCATATATATACATCACACACACAATAATAATAAAGAAATAAAGAGTTCTCGATAGTTCATCTTCCTGCCCAAACACTTACCAGCATGCTGAGCTACCTTCATAGCTTCCTTGAAGGTAACACATACTAAATTGAGGAAGTACCTCCGATTCTCATTCCCTACACGCTCCCACAGTCAAAGTCTACAGAAACACAGCTTTGACTCAACTATTTCACTGTCAAAGTGCATATTTAGCTCTTCATGTTAAAATAATCATCTTAATTTCAGATATGTGGTTTCCAAAACAATTTACCTCTACTGGAACAAGGAAATAAACAAAGAAAAAGGAAGATATGGAATCCAGGAAACAGAAGACACAACACAGGACAGAGATGAAGGGATAGTGAAAAGGAATTCCGGAGCAACATCTGTACAGCAGACATGGAGAACCATCAGTCCAGACTGGAGCCAGAGGACAGAGAAATCTGGGAGAGTTGCCCCCAGGAGAGCAGACATGCAGCAAAAACAGTGATGAATTTCCTCATACATTTGGTCTTGTGAAAAAATGTACTATTAGAAAGAAGGGGGAGATTTAGCACTAGACAGAAGCTGAGCAAGTGAAAACAAGAAGACATAATTAAATACAGGAAAAATTAAAATATCGAACACACAAAAGTGAACATTGTATACTCTCAGTTTATCAGATAACAAAATGGATACAGTATACAAAGTAATAAAGTAAATGTTATTATAAAAAAATGAATTTAACCCAAAGTTAGTGATTTTGGTGGCAATAGGGGGGAGGAGATTTTAGAGTTAGATTATCAGGTGTCATAATATCAAGTTAATCATTAGAACCCAGGGTAGATTTTCAGTGACAGAGCACTTGATTGACGTGCTCTGGGTTTGATTCCCAGCACCACAAAAAGAAAAAAGGAGGAAGAAGGCATTCATTACTCTTTCAAGAGAGAAGACTATAAACATGGAAATATATTCCAAAACAAACAAATCAGAACTGTATTTGGAGAACTGCTCTGGAGTTGTTGCTTGTAGGGCTAGATACAGAGTTTTTAAGAGCAGTGCAAGATACCGATTATGAGCTTCTAATTGCTATTTGACTTGACATTATGTGCTTATTTAAGTTGAACAAAAGCTTAAGTTAAAAGAGTAGAGATGTAGTTCAGTGGTACAGTGCTTGACCAGGGTGTTTAAGGTGCTGGGTTCAACCCAGTACCAATAAAATAAACATTAAAATGTGCCTTCAGATTAAAAATGACTTCTGATTTTCTTTTTAAATTATTTTATATATATATATATACATATATATGAATATTTTTGCCTGCATGTATGTATGGATACCACTTACATGTCTGGTGCCCAAAGAGGTTAAAAATAGGATATCAGATCCCTTGGAATTGGAGTTACAGACAGTTGTGAGCTGCCATGTGGGTGTTGGGAACTGAACCCAGACCCTCTCCAAGAACAGAAAGTGCTCTTAATTGCTGAGTCATCTCTACACCTCCAACTTTTAATATTCTTTTCTTTTAAAAAAGTTTTAAAATTTTTTGTGTGAGTGTTTTGCCTGCATACATGTCTGTGTACTATGTACATGCCTGGTGCCCAGGGAGGCCAGAAGAGGGCATCAGATCCCCTGGAACTGGAATTTCATAGGTTGTGAGCCACCATGTGAGTGCTTGGAATGGAACCAGAGTCCTCTGGAAGAGCAGTCGGTGCTCTTCATCACTAAGCCATCTGTCTGCCCAGGCCCATCTACCTTATTGGGTCTTTCAGGGAAAATGGAGCTCCAGTTTCATCAAGGCCGACGGAACTGTGAGGCCCCAGGATCTGTCTGCTTCACAGATCTAAGGTGATATGTGTGTGTGTGTGTGCCAACAAAGTGACGCTGGTAATCCCAGCTCAGGTCCTCGTGCTTGTACAGCAGGCACTGTGGCTGATGAGCCATCTCCCAGCCCATCCCCAAGGCTTTTTAACAGGAGAGTTGGGTTACATTCTAGTTTTTTCAACATCTGTCAAAAGGTCAAAATTTTTAGGGCACAATATGATATATGGCTTTTCAGACTGTAAACACTCTGAAGACATACACAAGTTTTCTTATTTGTATCTCTATGATGCTGGTGAATAAAGACCCTGTCAAAAAAAGAAAAAGAAAAAAGGGAAAAAAGAGAAAAAGAAACTGAAAATAAATCTTTCTGTATTTCCAGTTCCACAGTGACCTTGCTAGCATCCCTGAGTGCCCTCAAATCCTGGGCAGTGAGATATCTGCAGTGGCAACAGTGGAATTCATAGCCAGGCAATGGTGGCCCATGTATGCTTTTAGTCCCAGTACCTGGGAGGCAGAGGTAGGCACATCTCTGTGAGTTCAAGGCCAGCCTGGTCTACAGAGCGAGTTCCAGGACAGCAGGGCTACTGAGAGAAGCCCTGTCTACAAAAAGAAAAGAATGGAATTCAGAGCAGAGGAAGTGCTTTTTGGCTTCAGGGTGGCAAATGGGTTCTTCCCTTCACTGGGAATGTCCTGAATTGAGAAAGCATTTGTGAACAGATGCTTGGAGCCAAGAAGCTGGGCAGCCACACCATTTGAAGCAGAAGAAAATTTGCATTTTGATCTTTGTGGTGCCCCCTCCTCAGAGAACCAAGGCTGGATTTCCTGCTGCCTGCGTGGTCCAGGGTGGACAAGTTTTCTAAGGCAAGGAACAAAGAAATTGCCTCCACGTCCACCTCATTCTCCTTTTTAATGATCCCACCAGTCACTTTGAGAATGGCAAATAAGAATGGAAAAGAAAGTGCCAAAACATTCGTTATTCACTAAGGCAGACACAGTATTAGACACTAAGGGATCCAGATGTCCAGTCAGTGAGTTCACAGATGCTAAGGACCTCTCTGCACCAGGCAAATGGGATATGATCCTTGCTCAAAGCAGTTAACAGCTAGGAGAAAGCACTTTAAAAAAAAAAAAAATCATACTCTTAAAAGGAACTTCTTGCCTTCTCTGATTCCCCCACAGCTTTCTCCTATGATCTGCTCAGTGTTCACCCTCACCTTCCATCACCACCCTGTAGCCTCAAACACTGGTGTCTAGGAGAGGAACATCCCATGAGACAATCCGTCTCCTTGGGGTTGCGGCACATTATCCTCTCCTCTGCCCCTCTCTGCCCCAAGTCAAGATCTACTAGACTGGGAGCTGGAGCGGGAATCTTGAGAAAGCACAGTTTTTGGGTCAGAACCAGAGACCAGGACAAGGTCACAGGCCAAGTCCCTCCCTCCTCCACCTTTGAGGCAGCGATGTTGCTGCCCTGTCCTTGGTGCTGGGCATATCAATTCAGTCAATGCTGCTGCCCCCTCGCAGTCCAGGAGGAGACACAAATGGATGGTGGTCTCTGACTTAGCCTCATCCCTCAGAGCAGGGAGTTTTCATCTTTTAGGCTGAGCCCACAGCCTGGGACACTGCCTCTCCTCCAGCATGGTGTGCCTTAATAATCACTTAAGAATTTTATTAAAATGCAGCCTCTGATGATTCAACAGGTCTGTAGTGGGGCCTGAAATCCTGCATTTCTAGCATTTATCCAAGTGATAGAGGTCCATGGACCTCATTTTGAGGAATGGACACTTCACTTTGCTGAGAAGTGATGATTAGATTAATGTCAATTAATGTGTCCCCTTACCCTTGGGCATTGGGAATCTCAAAGATTAGGCAACCTGCTTTCTAAACTCACTCACCCACCCACACCCCATTTCATCTCTACCATCTGTGAGATGCAGGTGGTAAACGTTGTCCCGGCCGGCTAAGTGCACAGCTATGTCGAATCGCTCCTTGTCCCGACTTCAGGAGAATCTATCTGAGAACTCAGAAGGAGATTCACCCCATGTCAATCCCAAGAGGCAAACCTCACCCATCGTCCTCCCCAGCCATTCCCCAGGTTACCAGCCAACACGACAAACCCAGAGAAGGATTTCTTTTTTTTTTTTAATGAAACTAGCTTTGATTGGAAAATAACAATAACTCGATAGGTTCTGTGCTTTCCACGGGGGTGGGGCAGTCACAGAGGCCCACTAATCCTCCCTTCGTCCAGGAGACCTTGGTGCTGTTACCTTGAAAAGTCTGAAGAACTGCCTCAGAACCTGGAACAGAGCAGCCAGGTGTGTCTGTGTGGGAGGGGGCTCAGTAAGAAACCAAGGGTAGACAGGTAAAGCCAGGGTAGGGGACAAACCTGTCAAACTCTTGTCGGTAAATGGCGGAAGATGGCGTGAAAGTAATGAACCCAGGAGTCTAACCTCTATCTAATGTTGGCCAAACATCAGAGGTCGAGGAGGTGGCTTGAGACTGAAAGCTTCCAGACTGGAACTCACCAGGACTCTCGGGGCTAGAGGCCCCACTGGTGACCGTCCAGCTGCAGGGTATGAAACTTGGCACTGTGGGGGTGCATAGGTGGGGCGTACATGTAGAGGGAGGAGTGAAGGCTCAAATCGGAGAGGGCGCTTCAGTCCGGTGGTGGTGAGATGGTCAGAGTCTCCCCCCGCCCCCCCCCTCCCAGGATGGAGGAAGGCAAGGAAGGTCTAGCTCGAGGCAAGGTTAGGGGACTCAGCAGAGAGCGCCAAGCTGCGTGTGGACCCCGGAGACTAGCGCGCTCTGCTCTAGCGAGAGCTGGAGGCTCGGCCAGGTGCTCCCGCAGCGGAGAGCGGCTCACAGGTAGCGTTCCAGCCCCGGGGCGAAGCCCGGCTGTCTCAGGTAGGCGTCCCCGGGGCTGAGCGGTCCGAGAGCGCCGGCCGGTCCCGCCAAGGCCAGGAGAGGCTCGGCGGGCAGCGGCGCGGGCGGGTAGAGCGGCGGCGAGGCGGCGGCGGCGGCGGCGGCGCAGGGCGGGAAGGTGGCGTCGGGCGCGGTGCAGCAGGGCGGCTCGGACGCCACCGGCCCCGGCGGCTCGGGCTGCAAGCCCAGCAGGCTGTCCAGGCGGAAGAGGCGCGCGGGCGGCGCGGGCGCGGGCGCGGGCGGGAAGGGCGCGTAGGGGAAGGGCGGCGGGGGCGGCGCGGGCAGCTCGGCGCGCTTGAAGCGCTTGCGGCGCCGCAGGAAGCTGCCGTTGTCGAACATGTCGGCGGCCGCGGGGTCGAGCGTCCAGTAGTTGCCTTTGCCCGGGTTGCCCGGCTCGCGCGGCACCTTGACGAAGCAGTCGTTGAGGGTGAGGTTGTGTCGGATGCTGTTCTGCCACTTGCGCGGGCTGTCGCGGTAGAAGGCGAAGCGCTCGGTGATGAAGCGGTAGATGGCGGCCAGCGTGAGACGGCGGCCCGGAGCGTGCGCCAGGGCCATGGCGATGAGCGCGATGTACGAGTAGGGAGGCTTCCCGCGCTGCAGCGGCCGCCGGCGCCTCCTCCCCGGGCCCGATGCGGCCGTGGGCTCCACGTCCCCGCCGCTGGTCACCTCCTCGGGCTCGTGTCCCGGCTCGGCGACGGCTAGCAGCGGCGACGGCTGCGGCCCCGACGGCGAGACCGAGGGCAGGGCCGGGAAGCCCGAGAAAGCGATGTGCGCATCCATGTGCGGGGTGCTAGGGATGCGGAGCCCCTGCCCGCCCTCCCGGAGAGCGGGGGTCGCAGGCTCGCCTTATATGGACACACACACCCCCACCTCCCGAGAAGAGGGCTCGGACCTGCCCTCTAATTTGCTTTCCCAGCCCCCTTCTCGGGCCAACAGCCCACCTCTGTTTCTCCCCCTCCCTTGGTCTAGTCCCTTTGGGTCAATTTTCTCAGACCCTGCCTCATCCCTGAGTCAGTCTCGGCCCCATTCCCACTCTGTGATATTTGGTCACACTGCTCCCATTACCTCCGCCCCTTTGGGTCAATCCCAATCACAAATCCACCCATTCAGCACACTCCCTATTTTGTGACTTCTAGCGGCCAGATACCCCTCACCCTCCCCTCTGCTTCCATGCTCTGCTCCAACAATCTTTGTGAGTCCTCAGCACCCTATGTGGCTGATCAGGGAGGCATCAGGCTACCTTTGGACAGCAGAGAACCGAGTAAGGGTGATAGAGAGGATAGCACAGAACTAGGTTGCTGTTGCAGGGGGAGATATTTGGAATAACTCTCCCTGCTGCTCCTCCTTCATCCTTATCCAGCCCTAACTCCAGCCAGGCCTTGTGAACTTTCTTTGAAGATATAAAATGGTAAAAAGTACTCCGCCTGCTTTAAAGAGGCCCACCACCACCACCACCAAAAGGCACATACCTCCAAATGCTTCCACAGAGGGAAGCGCTGAAGGAACTGCTTTCCGATGCAGACATTATAACTGGGGGATGGAGAGATGGGAGAGTTTTTGTACCATCCTCCACCACCACACAGAGGGAGCCATAGGGTGAAGGAGCCTTGTCTTAAAGCAAGCAGACAGACAAGATCCATCCAAGTGGAGGTGGAGCAGGGACCAGAGAGGCAAGTGAAGGGTCACTAGGCTAAGTTCCAGGGCACTTACTGTCAAGGCCTTGTGTGTACAGTCAGCCCTTGAGAAATTTGGGGCCTCCAGACTCCATCTCTGATGGAGTATGCCTTATTCCCCTGAAAGTGACCAAAGCTCGCTCCAGGTGGCCTGTGGCCTAGAATGTCAGTATCCAAATTCAAACATGGAGCTCGGGGGCTCTCCTCTCAGCTGGTAACATCACAGCCACTATTGTTTAGTATTTTGTGTTCGGTAAATACAGTGTTTCACGGGCATATAAGCTTCCCTGGGAGGTATTATTATCCCCATTTCTTGACTGAAGAGCCCAATGCTGTGAGAGGTGAAGTAGTATACCTTGCCTCCTACAGCTGATAGTGGGCAGGATGGGAATGAAATCCGGTGGTCAGAGCACTGCCCCATCACCTCCCTTCTAACCCCATCCCTTTACAGTGGAAGCTTGTGGTGGCACCCACGTGGTCCCAGCACCGAGAGACTGAGGCCACTTGAAGGATGGAGGATACTCCATCTCAAAAATAAGTAAACAGGGCTGAGGAGGTGGCTCCGTGAATGAAGTCCTTGACACGCAAAGGTGAAGTCCCAGGTTCAGAACCTCAGAACCCACAGGAAGCTGGACTCAGCAGTGTCCCAGTAGTCCCAACACTTGAATGGCAAGACAGGAGGCGGAGAGAAGAGGATCCTCAGGCACTATGGGCCAGCTAGCCTGCAGCAGGCAGTGGTGAGCAAGAGACCCTGTAGAAGGTGAGGAACTGACACCCGAGATTGTCCTCCACCTTCACACATGGGCACCCCCAAGCACACACCCCTGCACATATACACATCATTTACACAACATGCAACACGACAGAGAAAAGAAAGACTTGGGAATAAATTACAGTTTGCCCCACTTTAGCTGCCAAGTTACTTCCCTTCTAGCCTCTCTCCTGAATTCTCAACAGATCCAGGTGCCCACTGGACATCACCATACGGATGTCTCAAAGCATCTCTATTCCATGTTCTAAATAACCCCCTACACACACACACACACACACACACACACACACACACACACACACACAGAGCCACAGCCTGCTCTCCTATCAACATTCCAGATCTCAGCAAGTAGACCTCGTTTCTCTGAGTGAGTCCCTACACCCAGGCAACTGCCACATCCTGCCAAGGCCACACAGATCCTAAATCAATTTCTCCTTCAGTTCTGGACTTGGTTCAGCCTGCCTCATTCACCAAGAGCTTCTGAGCCAGGCCTTTTGCCAATGCTCAGGACAAGATAGAAATGAGACAGTCTGGTGGAGAGAGAGATGGACAGTTACACACTGAGTGGATGGGGTGGGCAGACTGAGAAAGCAGAAAGGAAAAAGAGGCAGATCTGGAGGGCGTCCCAAACAAAACAAGGACTATTGTGTCAGAACAGACCCTGCTCTTCTGCCCTCTCCACCTTTCGTCCTGTGTCAGCACAGGCCACCCGGAACACGGGACAGTGCAGTCAAATCACACACGACAGAACAGGGTAAGACAAGCCACTGCGGCAGCAGAGCATGGCTCCCAGAGCCATGTGAGCAAGGCCACCTCTTGGTCAAACCTGCTTCTTCACCTGCCAAGTGGAAGCCATGGCATCTCCATGGTAAGGGAGTGCAGAGGGCCTGGCCTGCTGCAAATCTCAATAAGAAGCATGTTTTTTGTTGGTTTGTTTTTTCCTGTCTTAACCAGGGGGACAGGAGAGAGGCTGCAAGCCACCTTTCCAGTCAGGTACAGTGTCATCTGCAGCTGGACTCAAATGCAGAACCAGTGTTGATGGAGCCCTTAGCCTTCCTCATCTTCCCTTTTCCAACAAAGCCCCTGCCAGAGCCTCTGTGTCATACCTCCAAGGAGGAAATGGGCTGTTATCGCGTCCTATGGCGGACTGCAGTTTTTTTGTAGGTACCTGAGATTTCCCAGGTCATGTGTACAGTCTGGGATATAATATATGTTCAATAAATGACCCTGAATGTGTGGTTGGCTATACTGATTCTGAGAAGGATGGAGATGGGAGCTAGGCCAAAGGGATGAGAACCCAGACTTTGCCAGTTCTTTGTGCCTGCCTACCCCCTCTCCATTGGGCCTGCTTCCCAGAGTAGAGCAAGCTGGTGTCAGGGGGCGGCCCAAGGGCTAATCCGTGTTTTCAGTGTGGCTGGGCCCTCTTTTCACAGGCCCTGGGCCGGACGTGATGCGGCTGAGCATCCGGGCATAAGACGGCCAGTGAAGGTGGCCCCTTTCTCATGGGCCTGGATTCCAGGCGGCCCAGCGTCTGAGTGGAGCCCCTGGGGCGGGGGGGAACACAGTAGCTGGGCTGGGCAGTCCTTTGTCTGACCACACTGGGTGGATATTCGGTCTGGCAGGAGGGATTAATGGCCAGGGATTGGCCCTGGGGCTGGCCTTCCCACTGCCCTCTGGAGGCCAGAGGCCCAGGTCAGGGCACACAACGCTGACGGCTCTCTAGATAGGAGCGGAAATTCCCACCCTTGTCCGAAGCTGTTTGCACTAGCCTCCAAGACCCTCTGCCCCAGGCCTGGCTTTAAGAGGCACCACTAACTCAGATAATGGGAGCTGCTGCCAGAACTTTCCAAGTGTTCTCGAAGAGAGAGTGCTGTGACTGAAAGTCATTTCAGATCCTTCCCCAGATTCTCACCCCATAATTGCCCATCCAGAGCTCTCAAAATAGGAATATTAACCCAGAGAGATCCCAAGAGCCCGGTTTGAGCTATCTCTAGACACACACACACACCCAAGATTTCCCAGAATGTTCCCCCAAAGACCTCTGGTTTGATATCATCTGATATTTATTTCAAAGCTCTCTACCAAAGCCTGAAGATATCCCATAGCTCAGGGGCAGCAGCAAATCCAAGGCATCCTCAAACCATCCCTAGCTACCTAGGTGCCCAAGGGTTCTACCTAAGAGTTATGCAGGATGTGGCTCATTCCTCAGGCTGGCAGCTGGGGGCCATCTGGAACCACACTGTGGTGACACCCTTTCTGACCAGGCTGCTCCTGCACCAGGACTAAGAGCAGTATGCCGGTGTTACCTCAAGGCCTGGGACTAAGAGCAGTATGCCGGTGTTACCTCAAGGCCTGGTTCCCGACAGGCTGAGCTAGCTCCGATGAGCAGCATTGCAGAAGTGTCCGGCAGGGGCACACAGGGAGGGGTGAGAGATGCTGGTCTTTGTGGTTCTTAACTCCTCAGACTGTAACTCCATATATCCCAAGGGCACATGTCCAGGCTACCTGGATGCTGGACCCCAGTGAGGAGTTAGACTTTCATCTGCTTCACTGTGCCAAGGAGGAGATAGCCAGGCAGATGCTCTCTGTTCTCAGTGGTCAGTATACGACCCTGGCAGAGTAGAGGCAGCAGAAACACAAAAGAAGACCCTCACCCAGCCTGGCTGATTCAGGCTTCCTGGAAGAGTGAAGCTCCAGGTGGCCAGGTGGGGAAGAACGGAGGCTAGATTGCGGGATCACCCTCACACCCCATAACATCTCTGTCACTGCACTGACTTGCTGTGTCTATCTCCTTCACTGGGCTTCGTGTGCACAGAGGACACATCCCAAGTCTCATATTTGGGTCCTGACAATTAGCCAAGTGCCTAGCAGGAGTAGCTGATCAACAGATGTCTGTCGGATGGCAGGCCCAGGCTGAGTACAGAGGTCTGGAAACGAGCATATGGTCCATCCCGGGAAGTGAAAGACTCGGTGTTTTCCTGAGCATCACAAGAACTGCCAAATGTGTTCTTAGAGCATGGCCTACATACTCTAGGGCTGGGTGGCTATTGCCTGTTATGGTTACTCCTCAAGATGGATGGTGTCCAGGGTCATGGGACTGAGACAAAAGAGGCAGACAGGTCAAGTTGTAGCTGACTTTTTGCCATGGTAAGAGGACTTTTGAAAAGGTCCCAGCATGTAGTGACCAGCTCTCTTATCTGGATCCCTTAGTCTCTGAAGGGATGGGCTTGAAAATGGAGGCCTGCCCTGTGGTGAGGAGCGCACCTAGGCAGAGGCAGTAAGGGAAGAGCAGACACTTTGTCTGCTCTTAGGCTCACTAGAGGGAAGACTGGAGC